TTTTGTACCTACGCTGCACGGTCAAGTTTAAGTTTAGTTTGTTAAATGTCAATCCACCGTCACCTCACTTTCACCTCACTGTCATTATGTCACCAGCACCACGGAGAAACATAAATGTCACAGTACCCTCTCCGGTTTTCATGAACCTTATTATTATTGTTACTAGATTAAGAGCCTACGCCTGCTGGTGCATTTGTGTCCAGTAGTATCTGGGTACCTGGGAGTTGTCTACCGCCACCGGCACGAACGGTTATTCGCAGGAAAATTTTTTTGTACGATCCATTTCATTATCAATATAATAAACGACCATGGTAATAACCACGTTATCGGTTATGATTAATTCTTATCACTTATCACGGAAATAATGTGTACGTCAGGACAACTACAAGCATCACAATTTTCAACAATACAACACAAGCATTAGTCTCTGTTTTAGCACATGCATGAATAGAATATTATATAAATAAAATAAATAATGTTATTCATACATGAGCATGTATATGTATATACACATACATAGCAAGTAGTGCATTAATAGAAAGGTCTAATCGTTTGTATTAGATGGTCAGGACAAATATTAATAATTTTGGAATATAAGTATTTTAAATTTTTATTTTTTATACGATACACTTATATACATGCAGTCAAGAGTTGTTACAGTCTTTAAACAGGTATGTAATAACTAATAAATTAAATTGACATGAAAAAACACACATCATTGTAAAATCAATGCAATCATCGCTCTACTTACTCAAAACATGAAGCGTGACGGTCAATAATTATAATATTACAATAAATTAAAATATAGGAGTTATATAAATAATATTATTATGTGCAGGTACCTATAATTCACTTAATAGAATAATTAAAAATCTTAGTCAATAATACATATTTTAAACAACCAAAAACGTCAAAACAATTATTACAATAAATTAAAATATAGGAGTTATATAAATAATATTATTATGTGCAGGTACCTGTAATTCACTTAATACTTTTATATTTTGGTGATCAATGTGCACTTTTATGTTAGGTGGGCAAACATGACCAGTCTTAACTGATCCACCACTCTTTGAAGATTTATACCCCTGTTTTATTATTTTATGATATTATTCTCAGAGATATTATTAACTATTTAAATTATTAAATTTAATTTGTTCATGATTCTTGGAGCAAATGACCTATGACAATAATAATAAATGTATTTTTTATCTTCATTTGTTTTGGATGATGTTGACTTTACATACTGACACAATTCTTTTTCTTCTATATCTTTTTTCCAACAATTAAAATCTGTCATATTTTTAAAAATCAGTAAATTAATTTGCACATGTGCTTATTAAAGTTTAAAATAAACATTATTATTTAATATTTACCTTCGATGTTTTTAAAATTTAGAAATGTTGACTCAATATTCACATTATGTACAGATTTTAAATGGGAAATCAATCCGTTCATCTTATGAAAAGACTTACTACATGTAGCAAATGAACATGACATATTATTGTCGGTGATATTTATGTGACCTTTGACGTGTTTAATTAACAATGACTTAAGATTAAATGATTCATCACAATCATTACAGAAGTACACATTTTTTTTCAAAAGTTTGTGCTTTTTAAAACCCTCATGTTTTGTCCTTAAATGCTTATTTAAACCTGAAATGGACATAAACTCAGCTTGGCAAACCTCGCAGGAAAACATATTAAAAAACAATATGTTAATTTATAAAAATAATTATACGTCAAAATAAAACTAAAAATTTGGAAACTGCGGAAAATCTACTAGTCGGAAGTGACTGAATAAAGAAAGTTCACTGTGGTTGTGATGACACACGGAGTACACGATCTACTAAATTGACAATATTCCAATAATCCTGAAGTCGAAAAGCATAAAATATATTCTGTATAGTATAATAGTATTATAAATATACACGTTTATCCCCAATTAATTTTTGAGTGTCCAAATTTTACTTTTATGACCCAATATTATGATAAGATAAAATGCAATGAATAGGTAAATAACATGGTGTCTATGGTGATGTACCATGTGCCCATGTATGGCTAATTTTATTTAGTACATTGTATTTTTCCGATTCTATCTAATTCTGTCTAACACACCAGCGTTATACGATTTTAGTCGGCTTTTTGCCAAAAATAAAAACTGATCCGGGCTTGGTCGATTTGTTCTTCGAGGAATACTACTCTAGAAACCGTTTCCAAAAAGTTATTATTTAAAATATTACATTATATTATATTATTTTATATTATTTTATTTTATTATATTTATTTTTATTTATTTGAATTTAAAAATACATAAATTTGAATTACGTTTGAATTTGAGGGAAATGCATGGGAATTTTTGTATTTCAGTGTTGGTTGGTATACATTATTTCCGTGATAAGTGATAAGAATTAATCATAACCGATAACGTGGTTATTACCCACGATTATAAAGAACAGGTTAAGCGACGTGGGCTGGATCGTCAGTCAGAACTCGTTACGGCGTAGTTCCATTAACTGCCGAGCGCTGCTAGTCAGACGTGTCAGATTTTTATTATTTGATATTGCGTGTGTCGTGTACACGATTATAAAGAACTTAAAAAGTTCTAAAGTTCTTTATAATCGTGGTCGTGTATGGCCTATCGGCTATCAATTTATCACGATTTGGAAATAATTGCACTTAAGTTAAAGTATAATATATTTTTGTAGGAACTTAATTATTTTAATGAGTGTATGCATTAATGCGGATAATCGAGAATTTTAGGTGATAACGTATTTGTAACTAATGATTTGCGAACATTTTTTTGCAATCTACATTTTAAAAATTTCAACTTTCTTAATTTTCAAATAATATCATCATAATATGTTCTATAACTTCTATTGCAGTACAATTATACCATAGTTAGTATCATATACTATTTGACATTTGTTTGTATTCTTATTTAAATAATCTGTCTAGAAAAATAACAAATACCTTAATTGGTACAGGGGTGGCAAAAACTTTTTTTTTCCTATAAAGTAATTTCCTTAAATTACCACACCAATTTTTTTACACATTGTAAACACAGGTTATATATGACTATACAAGTATAAATTATAAACTAGTATAGTTATCTAGGTCTTGGAGACTGGAGTTTACTGAAAATAAAATAAAATATGTTCTGTAGAGTATAAGTTTTCCAGGAAACAACATGCCAAGAGGGGTGCTATAGCACCCCTCTCTGGATCCAATTTTGAGTCCTAAAAAAATTTTGAAACCTAACCTAAATAATTAAAAAAACAATTAAAAATAAAGTCAACGTTAAGTAAACTAATGAGCTGAAAAGCAAAAAGCAAAAATGCGTAAGCTTCAATTTTTTGAAAAATAAAAACAAGATAATTTTAAATATTTATTAGCAAAAAATGAAGAGGATATTGCATATATTCTTACTAAATTATAAAAGCTAATAGTTAAATATGTAATAATTTGGCCAATTTCCTTTTTTTTTTGGGATAGATTTTCTTTCCTATTATCTTGTACTGCAAAATGACGCATGCGCATGATTAGGTAATTAGTGATGATAGACATAAGATGATTAATAAACTAATTATTTTTTTTTTAGAAATTATGACGATAAATATTTATTTGAAAATGAAGATATCACTAAGTCATCCGTTGAATGTATTTCTACATATCCTGTTGAGATAACAAATTGTAATAGTGATGTTTTATTTATTGGAAATGAAAATAATTTCAAAAGTATATCAATCTTAATAAAGTACCTAAGTGTTGCTTATTTAACACTACAATTATGTAATAGTTTTATTTTTTTTTTTTTTTTGTTATGTCATGTTAATTTACATACATTTATTTGGTTCAATATGTATACAATATACATACATAATTAAATCGTATATTTTACGGTGCTAATGATGATTATGTATTTGAAAATAAGGAAAGTATTGAGGATCTACTGAATTTTTGCGATCCTCCATTTTCACCTACTCGTGTTACAATTTTTAACCATCATGAAAAACAGAAGAATATTGTTGTCAGTCCCACTACATATTGGTTAAAGTATATACTTAAGATAAATATTTTGCAATTTTTTTTATTTATTATTTTAATTACAATTTAGATATAATAATGATAATATATTTTGTAATACTATTTTTTTTTTAGTTTAGTCGACAACACTTATTATGATATTGTGGCTAATGACTTAAATGCATTAAACAATATTTCTCCATCAGCAGTTATTTACACTAACCATGATAGTAATTATTATTCCACTAAAAACACAGAAACTAGTCACGGTGAACAAAATAGACCTGTTCGTAAAAAGTTTGTACTATATTAAATATTATTTAGTAATTCTATAATAATGTATTCTTAAAAATATTATTTCTTATCACGGTTTTTTTTTTGACTATGTTATATAGTTTTACAGAAAGGGAAAACGAGGAGAACTCAAAAAAGTCGTCATTGAACCAGAGCAGTGGCGTGGTGATTGGGGTTTTATGATGCCTAGGCCTCATGGTGGATTTTTATTTTTAAGGGGTGGGGGGTTGGGTTGTTGGGTAAATTTGTGTTATTATTAATAGTTATACAATAATGTCATAACTACAAATAATACATAAAATTACGAAGAAAATAAAAATAAAAATTTTGCATAACGACATACTACAAAATAACTCGTAACTAAACATCAATCTTTGAATCAATAGTGTCATAAGTTAAAAAACTTAAACTAACTCCTAATTTTAAAATAACAAAACATTTTGAGGTAAGAATAAAGCATGAATATAGTATGTTATAACACTCTACTTCAATTAAAATAAGTTTCTAATATGAACATTCAATATGATTTTATCGTCATATAATTGCAAATAAAATTTTCAAATGCGTTTTGTGTGAACCACGATGTTTGTGTTATGGTCGTTGTTGTAGCAAACAAGCGACGTGTATATCAAAAATGTTCTTGATATACATTTAGATTATTCGGACTCGGGACTATGTTCACTGCATGCTGAGTAATTTGTTATTTTTCTTATAATCCTGCAGAGAACAACATATTTTACGAAATTACAAGAGCCTATTTACTATAATTTATTTGATTTTATAAAATAGGATATGAATATATCATAATATATCACCTTGATAGCTTTCATTAATGGTATGACAGATGTCCCAGCTTTTTTATATTTAGTTATCAAATTGTTGGTGTGGGTCATAAACTCCTCGTCCTGTTGTTTCCAAAGTTTTAATTGTGCATTATATTTTTCAACATCTACCCGTTTGTTAGCTCTACTAGCTGCTCTATTGTTATCCTATATGAAAAAATAACATTAAATAATTAATTTAGCATAAAATATTAGTTAAAATTTCTGATTTCACGTATTTACACATTGTAAATTGAGATTCTTTCGAAAACAGTTAGTTTCTCTGGTCTTTGCCTGTTTACTTGACTCTTCGAGTAAGCATAACATCTCAGTCTCTCTTAGGCGCCTTTCCAGTTCCCACTGATGACTCAGTGTCAAACGTTCTTTTTCCTTTCTATTTTCTTCATCCAAGATCTTCTTACTGGCCTCGAAATCTTCTTCTCTATTTTTTATCAAACCCTTATTTTTAAGTTCTTCTCTTTGATACCTAAACAAGAATTTATCTAACTTGTAAAAAAAAATAGTAGAATAAACCTAAGAATGTACGAACTTCCGCTCTTTTTCTTCGACTGCGTTTTGAAATGAAACCTCTTCTTTATCCTGACCCGTGTCTGCAGTTTCAACCATTTTTTCTAATAATTTTTGTTTTTCTTTTAAAATCTACAAACGAATTTTATATTAATTCTTATAAACAAAACCTGTAACATACATGTTGCATATTATACAGCATTTATGCATTCTTCTAACGTAGTATAAGTATTACCAAAATAATATACATGTATATATTATATAATAATATGTACTTATAGGTTATTTCAATAGTACGCCCACGATATAATTTTATCACGTTAAGAAATTATTATAGTAACAAAGTAACGTATCTGATCCAACCTGTATTTTAAGCCATGGTACCTTAGATCATATACTATACCTATTACCTAGTACCTACACTTGTTTATGATCTAAGGTCCTTACGCTGTCATTTTATTTTGTTTGATAACAATAATATAGGCTATGTGCAATAATCTTGTATATTTAGGAAATCATGAGTACCTATCAGATTATGGTCAGTGGGGACTGTCCTGTGTCCATCGGTCATTATTGAGTAAACAATTTCAATGCATACATCATTGAAATTTATACTGTTAACAATAAAGTTGACTATACAATTCGTTTGTATTATTATTCATATTACTATATTAGTATTCCATGACAGTACATATTAACTTAAACATTTACCTATATAATAATTAATATTATTAGGTGAGTTGGTACATACTTCTATTTCTTTCAGTTTTCTTGTTTTAGCTATTTTCTTCTTTGCCTCAGCCATTATTGATACTACTAAATTTTCCTCTTGATCTTCTAACTGACGCAGCTTAATGTTTTCAGCCACAATTTTTCTATTTTCATTTAAGTGATTTATTAAATTCTCTCTCGTTGCTAGAGTCTTAAACATAATGTAGGTAATTACAATGATATACGTATGAATGTATGATGTAACAAATTAACACAATAATATAATATATTATATTACTTTAGCTTTTTTTTTCTCTCTATCTTCCTCGATTTCATTTGCAATTCTCTGCAATTCAGCTTTACCTTCTTCTCTTAATTTAATATCATTGTCACGCTTTATATTCTCTCGTTCTTTCAATCTTGTAACACCATAATAATATATTAATATCATATTTATAGTATATATTATATTATATAGATTTTTTTTTATTGTTCTTAAGCCAGGAAACTATGATCATGAGCTGATTGTAGAGGGAGAGGGGATAAGGATAGATTAGAACACATGTGTGTATGTGTGGCAAGGATTTGTTACTATACTTCGGCCCACGAGAGAACATTATCTTTTCGCACGAATGTAGGCTGATGGCACTGACCAGTCCGAGCTACAATTCCCCCACTTTGTGCCGCGACGGTATAGGTTGCATAAATATATATTATAGCGTAGAGCGATGGTTGCCGATCGTACTGAACGTTAACGACCAGTAATTGTCGTTGAGTGAGAGACGCGCGGAATCGGAAGCATTTTGTTCGGGACACGGTCTTTCGTGGGCCAGTGTATAAAAGCCCGGGTGGTGACCCATCCGGGAACTAGTGACACCGACTAGTACTTGCACTCAGAACATGATTTGTGAATGAATGTAACCAGCAACACACAATATATAGAACATATTATATGTTAATACTAGGTACCAAATAATAATTTATATTTTACATTTATATTGGTTTACAACATATATTACTATATTATATTAATGATATTTTTTAAATCAGTTAAGTTAAGGTCATTATTAATTTTTCAATTAAATTATAAATGAAGTTAATATACATTTTTAATACATCAATTAAGTTTAAAATTAAGTTGACAAAGACCATTAGCTTAACTTAGATTCAATTAGTAAGTTAAAAAAAAAAGTCAGTCTGACATTAAGTTTCAATTGGGTCACTCTATAATGGAAGGTATTAAATTTGAATTCAATGATACAATATCATTGTATAAGAAAAACGATCAGTCATGATATTACTAAGTATATTTGATAATATTAAGGTGAATAAAGTTATTTATAATATATAACCTATTTACGTGGAATCTTGTTTTAAATTCTCAATCCTTATCTATAAAAGTTGAACATTTTATAAATTTTTTAATTACCCAATATCACTTAGGGCCTTTCTTACAATGTCCGGTAAAGTGTCGGTTAACGCTAACCGACTGATAACAGATTTTATTACCGGCAGAATTCTTCCGGTTAAGTGTCGGTTAACTTTAACCGGACATCGTAAGAACGGCCCTTAGTTATTTCGGTTAATAAAATATGTATACCGTATACGTATACAATATACACTATAGATAGGTAGTAGGTACATTACCCGTTTTGAATCTTACATTCTTACCCATAACATACCTATATTTGTAATTATTGAGATCATGGTATTATTTATATATTGCTTTGGGTGTTCGTAACAATACTTTACTAATTATATTGTTGGTCGGCACACAAAATAAACCTTTTCAAAAGCAGATGAAAAAAAATTAAAAATCCATAGTCACAATTTTTTTTTATAAACATTTGAAGTTCAAATATTGAAAAAGGTGCTCTGCTGTACAGTAGGTTATAATTGGGTCACTGTATAATGGATGGTATTAAATTTGAATTCAATGATATAATATCATTGTATAAGAAAAACGATTCTGAGCGGAGATGGTATGTCAGTCTAGGTATAAGGCATACTATATACTTATCTATGGTATTAAAAAAAATTGACCTATAATAGGTACCTATGATAAATTCCAAATTAATCATATCGCAATATCCATTAGGTACTTATAACGCATTATACATCAACAACAAACCCTGATACTATCATAGATATATAATAGTGTACTTTAGAAGTTTCAAGTACCCACGAATAATATTATACAATCACAACAAAATAACTAAAATAGTTATTCTAGGTTTTTTATTATATAATTTCGTCCAAATTTGAACTTAAAATGGCTATAAAAATAAAAGGTGCTTACGTATTTTTATATTTTTTGGTAACAGAATTAACTACTTACGTGGAATGTGGAATCTTGTTTTAAACTTTCAACCCTTAGATATAAAAGTTGAACATTTTTAACAATTTTTAACTACAAAATACTTATACCAATTTTAAATTTGATAAATTTTGTCAAAATTCGATCTTTAAAGTTTAAATGCTTTTAAAAAAAATTGTGCTTATGTATTTTAAAAATGTTCAACTGATATTGTAACAATATATTAGGAACCTTGTATTACATTTTTACACTTTTTGGCCCAACAGATAAAACTTAATTGATATTTATAAAAAAAAAAAAATAAAAAAATTGAAAACTGAAAATGTCCGTAAACAGCTCAAAAAGAGTCAAAATATTTTATTTAATTAAATATTAAAAATTTTATTTTGTATAGGAAATGCTAATATAAACATTCAGTAAAAATTTCATGTATCTACTGTTATTAGTTTTTGAATTACAACAAAATAAGGAAATCGCCACATGAGAAGTCGAATGAATATCCAATGTTGTAAAACTTTGAATTTCAAACGGTTATAAAGATTTAATTTGACTTTCTTACAGACATTTTTTTTTGATATATGTAGAAAATCTTATAAGGAATCTTGTATTACATTTTAAATCTTAGATTTAAAAGAAAATTTTTTACGAATTCTTAACTCAAAATAATTTGCTAATTTTCGGGATTTTTCCATATTTGTCAATTTTTGAACTTTAAATGCTTGTAAAAAAAAACTATGACTAAGGATTTTTAATATTTTTCGTCTGCCTTTGAAACAATATACTAGGAGCCTTCTATTAAATGTTCAAGCTTTATTAACCAACAAATACATTTTTATTGATATTTTTAGAAAAAAAACTAAAAAAAAAAGGAAAATGAAAATGTCCCTAAACAGTTCAAAGTAAATCAAAATATTTTGAAATTTTATCGTGTATAGAAAATGCAAATATAAACAACCAGTGAAAATTTCATGTATCTACGGTCATTTTTTTTAAAGTTACACTAAAAACCAAATTCAATTTGTGAAATGATTTTAAATTTTGTCCTTCCAATGCATCAACGATATTCACTTTCCAATCCAACAAGATACTGAAGTTGAAAATCGAAGCATTATTTCGACTACTTATCGTGTACACAGACACAAATAAAAAAATAAATAAATAAAAAAAAAACACACATCATTGTAAAATCAATACATTCATCGTATACCTAACTATGATTTATTTAATATAGATATAATATAATGTTTTAACTAATGTCTAATACGATTTACGAATACGAATTAAATCACTTAAAATGTTTTATCTCACTCTTTTAGGAAAAAAGCAGCATTAGCTTTTTTCGTTTCAGCTTGTTTCAATTTCTGTTCCCATTGATCCGTCTTATATCGTTCAGCATCTAAATTTTGTTCCATCTTTAATAAACGATCTGCTTCCAATTCCTTCGCTTTCTGATCCTCATTGAATTTAATTTGAATAGATCTCTCTCTAAGCACCTATAATAATAATATCCGACCATCATAACATACTACATAAATTTGATTATATAATAATCATGTGAAAAATGATTACTAGGTAACGTAAGTTAAACAACCTGAGACAAATTATAAAATAACTATTTACTAGTATAATATAGGTAGGTAGGTACCTACTCTATTTCAAATGAGAAAGCACCAGGCGGCGAATGAAAACCGGTCGAAACTCCCTCAGGTCCCGACAGTTTCATTATTCATTTTGTGGTGGGGGTGTGTTTCTGGCCGCCTTTGATAAGGGTGCGTTCTCATTTGAAATAGAGTATAGTAATAACTAATATTATTGAATATATACAATATAAAATCTATATTATATGAACCTTCAACCTACCTATATTATGGACGTGTATACCTAACCTATAATTTGTATGCTTATAAGTACCGTTCGTCCTTTCTACAATTATATCAAGCATATAGGTAGTTTATATGGATATTATATAGCCTAGCTAAGCTATAAGTCCTAAATGCTAGTGTTGTTTGATATATATGAAGTAATATTGTAATAATGTACCTATTATGTATAATAAAGCATAAATCATCGCATAGATTAAGTATATTGAATAATATGTGATTATCTTATTATTATTCTATATTCATGACTTAATATAAGTACATAATATTATAGGTACTAATTACTAGTACTATTAATACAACTATATAAAATCCATACCTCCATCTTGTGCACTTCTCTGGCGAGCGCTTTTGTCGAATCTCTGTCCGACCATTTCTTCAACCGAAACTTTTCTACAATGGCATTTCTGCGCTCCAAAATTTCGAGTTTCATAATTTCGTCTCTTTTAAGTTGTCTGGCTTCATTACTTGCTACTAACTTTCGTCTGTTTTCTAGTTCTTTCTTTCTTTTATTCTAAGAAAAAAATAAAGGTAATTATTTTTTTTTAATTATAATTAATAACCATACCAACTGTATATTATATATATGTTTATTTGGTACTTGTACATTATACACTTTACGGTAATCACCACCTAATATAGGTACCTATTCGATTTTGTGTTAAACTCAATTATGTCATTGTGCCTATACCTAATGACGGTTAACACCTAGACAGGTATTATTTTATAAACAATTTTGTAAATAAAAAGGTGGGCAAGTGGGTGTCGCTCTGCTGTACAGTAGGTTACAAGTGGGTCACTGTATAATGGATGATATTAAATTTGAATTCAACGATATAATATAATTGTATAAGAAAAACGATTCTGAGCGGAGACGGTATGTCAGTATATGTATAAGACATATTATATACATATCTATGGTATTAAACAAAAAATTGACCTATAATAGGTACCTATAATAAATTCCAAATTAATCATATCACAATATATATTAGGTACTTATAAGCGTTATACATCAACAAAAACCGTGATACTATCATAAATATATAATAGTACACTTTAGAAATTTCAAGTACCCACGAATAATATTATTCAATCACAACAAAATAACTAAAATAGTTATTCTAGGTTTTTTAATATGTAATTTCGTCCAAATTTGAATTTAAAATGTCTGTAAAAAATAACTGTGTTCATATATTTTTTAGATTTTTTGGTTACAGTATGAAGTATGAACTATTTACGAGAACCCTTGTGTTGAATTTGCAATCCTTAGCTATAAAAACTGAACATTTTATAATTTATTAATTACAATGATTGATAATTTTCGAGATTTTGATAAATTTTATCAAAATTTGATCTTTAAATGCTTATAAAAAAAAACTGTGACTATGTATTTTTAATATTTTTTATCTGATATTGTAACAATATATCAGGAGCCTTGTATTTAATTTTTACACTTTATGGCCCAACAGATAAAACTTTATTGATATTTATAGAAAAAAAAAACTAAAAAAATTGAAAACTGAAAATGTCCGTAAACGGCTCAAAAAGTGTCAAAATATTTTCAAAATTGTAGGGTGTATAGGAAATGCTAATATAAACATTCAGTGAAATTTTCATGTATCTACAGTAATTCGTTTTTTAATTACAACAAAAAAAGGAAATTGCCACATGAGAAATCGAGTGAATATCCAATGTTGTAAAAATTTGAATTTCAAACGCTCATAAAAATTTAATTTGACTTTCCGGTAGAAATTTTTTTATTGATAAAGGTAGACAATCTTATGAGTAATCTTGTATTAGATTTTCAAATCTTAGATTTAAAAAGAAAAATTTTTACGAATTCTTAACTCAAAATAATTTGCTAATTTTCGTGATTTTTCCATATTTTGTCAATTTTTGAACTTTAAATGCTTATAAAAAAAAATTGTGACTAAGGATTTTTAATATTTTTCATCTGCCTTTGAAACAACATATTAGGAGCCTTCTATTAAATTTTCAAGCTTTCGCAACCAACAAATAAAATTTTATTGGAATTTTTAGAAAAAAAACTAAAAAAAATTTAAAATGAAAATGTCCCTAAACAGTTCAAAATAAATCAAAATATTTTGAAAACGTTATCGTGTATATAAAATGCAAATATAAACAACCAGTGAAAATTTCATGTATATACGTTTATTTCTTTTAGAGTTACACCAAAAACCAAAATCGATTTTTTGGAAAACCGATTTTGCGTCAAAATTCCCGTTTTTCCTTAATTTTTATGTTGTTTTTCCCGGCGCTTGTGAAAACTACTGGGAAATTTTTACTTTTGACCCACCAAAGTACCAACTAGATTCACTTTCCTATCAGAAAAGCTACTGTTGAAGAAAATCCAAGGACTTTTACTGTCCTAAAACGTGATGACAGACACAAAAAAAAATAAAAAAACACACATCATTGTAAAATCAATACATTCAACGTTTCACTCAGAATCTAAAAATATACAAATAGGTGTGTCCATCAAAATCTCAAAAAACCGTGAAGCATGTATAGTCTATATATTTAGAAACATATAGTTCAATTTAGTTTTACAGAATTTTATAAATATTCATTTAGGGGTAGGTACCAGTACAGTAGCGTCCCATGTTTCTTTTATGGCTTTGGATGTAGCTTGCCGTTCGTCTTTTAATCGCTTTATCATCTCAATTGTAGCTATATCATCATCCTTTTTGGTCAAAATCTTTTTTAGTCTTATCCATTCAACCTTTGGGATTAAAAGAGCTTGTGTTTTTTGGTTATTATTTACCACATCTATGGCTTGCATTTTATTGTCTATCGACCAACAAAAATATATATGATTTCAGACAATTATTCTAATAGTGCCTAATATATTTTTTATGAACTGTGAAGACAAAGTTTGTTTCCAACGCCAACAGAGAATACATAACTTTTTAATTTTTAGTCTTAGCCAACATATTTTTATAGATTTAATGATTTGTTAACCAGGGTTAAAAGTTTGAAATCGAATTGAAATTTTTGATTGTAATATCAATTTTGATAATTTATATAAGTTTTTTTCTGAATTCAATTTAAAATAATATATATATTATTTTAATCAAACTTGGGCCACACAAATACACTATGCGATTTTCGCCAATGGAAACGGAACCTTGAATGGCCGCTGCCGCCAGTCTACATCACGATTTAAGGTAGTATGGTTGGATGCTCGGAATATTGGTACGGTCTATACCATTTACAACAAAACAAATAAAAAACGCGGAAAACTGGTACTATTCAAAATTTAATTTTCAGGGGTCCTAAAATATTTATAATGTTTATAATATAATTTTGTTAAATCACCATCGTCAACAAGTTAAATTTAAATAATACTTAAAACAAAAAAAAATATACTAGCAATCAAAATTACCAAAAAACACTAATAAGTACTTACAAAGTAGCAGGCAGGTAAAATAAATATAAAATATAGGTACAGTAAAATATAATAATATACCTAGTTTATGATTAATAATATAATTATTTCGTATACTTTGCTATATTATTTAAAAATTGTCCTAATTGAATTTCTTTATTTAAGAAGTTCTCACATTCGTTGTATAGTTTGTCTTGCAAAGTACATTCACGAAGTTTAGAGAAAATATTGGGCTCCCAGACTTCCCACTAACATAAGTTTCGTCAAAATATTTTAGTAACGGTAACAATTCTACAGGTGTCGTTGTATATAAATAAACCATTCTATCTATTACTTCACTAAAGGGTAAAAACGCTAAAGCGTTAATCATACCGTAACTTATTCTAAAATCTATGTTATTTCTGTATAAGGAACATATGCCTAATTGTTGAGCTTTTCGCCATGTAGATTGGCATAAATGTCCATATTAGGTATAATTTTTATTGAAGTAATACCTAACACTCTCAATCCACTATTGCGAATGATATTGTACTAATGAGAACTTTCTGTATATCGCATTATTTTCACTCGCAGTCACTCGTGAGTCGTGTTTTCCCATCAATCGTCGGTAGAATAAAATTAAAAATAATCGTTGATATTTTATTCTTTTTTTTTCATAAAAGTTTGGGAAACCTTTACTATTGTGAACCGTACCAGTATTCCGCGTTTATACAGACCGTACCAGTTTTTTCCGTTTACCGCATGGTTGCCCATCCATCAGTGAATATGCCTTTTATTCTGCCAACAGGATTTAATCCAGAAATCAGCTGCTTTTATCCACTACTAGCGTGCTTAGTAATCTGATTTTACAGTTTGTATTTTTACCACCATCTTGGCCTTTGTAGTACTACTAGTGTTGAATATTTTTATTGATTTAATGATTTAATCTGTAGGACAGTTTATCACTAACGAATGTGCAACCATACTATCTTAAATCGTGTTTTACATGCACGAAACGGTCTACTTCTCTCGTGGGACGAAGTATAGATAAAACCATTATAGTAAATTTCGTAAAATTTGGTTTTAAAACTTGAACCGTGAACACAATAATTTTACTTAATTATAATTTAGTATATGTAGGTATACAATAACAAAATATATTAAATTTTAAACCACACCATCGTCTTAAGCACATAAATTCACTAGGATTATTCAAAAATAATAGTATTCTTGTCATATGCGGTCTACCGCACTCGGGACACCTGTGGTCTACCTATAATTATTTTCAGCTAATCGATTTCAATGACGATTAAAGCTTTATCTTATTAGCTTAAGGGGATTCGATACCGTGATTTTCTGTTTTTGTCTAACACACGCTCGACATAGTATTTTAGACGTAGTTTTTGCCAAACATACCAATTAATAAAATGAAGCGATAAGAATTTTGAAAACAGATTTGAATCTGCCCCTTCAAGTCTACTTGAAATCGCCTTTCCCATATTTTTGATTTTATCCCCCAAATTCTTAAAAATATCATATTCAAAAAGTAAATTTAAAAATTAAACCGTGGGTAGAGCGTTTATTTAGTACTGTGTGGTACAACCAGGGCCGGCGCTACCAAAAATTTATAGGGGGGTGGAATTAAAAATTTGCCGACTCGAAGTATACAATTTGCCGACCCCCAAATGCAAAAAATGGCGTCTTTTTCAAAAACTTATAAAATAACAATAAATAAAAACAACTATAAATTATATCATTAAACATTATATTTTCAATATATTTTTTCATAATAACATTTACAATTTTTGATTAGTTTCTTATACTTCTATTCCACGATGTTTCAAATGGGACCACTTCTTCACGAGCACCATGGTATCAATTGTATCTAAAATATCCTTATTAGTATTAAGTAACATTCAATTTTGAAGACGGTCAGCATTCATGGTAGATCGTAAAAAGTTTTTTATTAGTTTTAGTTTACTGAACGCTCGTTCATTGGAGGCTGTACTTACAGGGGCTGTAAACATTAATCTTAATATCTTGTTCATATTAGGCAAAATATTTTTATACATTTCTGATACATTTAAGATATCCAAAACGTTTTTAGCGTCCTTGCAACGGTGAGCCAGCACAAGATATTCAGAATAAACTGCATCAAAATCCTTAATATTGGATACAGAACATCCTGGAGGGAATAAATTTATTATCTTTTCAAAGTCTTCTGCTGAATGTTTATTACTCAAAGGCACTTTTAAAAGATTAAATAATAGTTCAACAGTAGCAATGCATTTTTTTAAGTGTTCGGAAGTTAATGTTGTCAGAGTATCTAAAACTTTTTTAAATTCAGATCTGTAGAAAGTTTTTAAATCAAATATTGCCTGTGAACTTGGATTAGAATCAAATCTTTTTGGCAATAGTCTTCTCCTGTGTATTTTGTTGAAATCAGATTCAGGATTAATGTTTAATTGATGTGCATAATTAATAGAACTATCAATCAAATTATCCATGCCTATCGAATCATTGTTAATATCATTGAAAATGTCAGTAAAATAGTTAATAGCATTAGAGCATCAATTATGTTGAGATCTTTGGCTTCAAAACTTTCAGTTAAAATTTTCATTTTATACATCACGTTTTTCATAAAATATAGTGATACTACAAAGTCAAATGTGAGTATTTTTTTGGCGATTCCTAAAGCTTGAGATCTTGTGTTTTTGTCAAAGTACTGGGCTGTAGACATTTCTTCTAGTGTTTTTACAATTGAGTCAAATGAAACCCATACAGCTTTTATTGACTCTGCTCGGGCTGTCCACCTTGTTTTCGATAAATTACGTAACTGTAAAGAATTTTCAATTTCAGACAGACTTTTTTGCAAATGAGCATATCTTTTTGTACTTGAAGAAAAGAAAACATACATATGTTCGAGTACCAAAAATAAATCTCCAACTATAATATTTATAGATATTTATAGATAATCGTGGTCGACAGTCCATAAGTCTTACAATATTATCTATGCAACACTGGAACAGTCACGTTGGTCATGGTCACACAAATCACCCGACTACCCGAGTGCCCGACGCGCGTATGCCCTTGCCGATTGCCGAGTGCCGACCAAACTTGGCCAAAATTCAAAACATATAATAGTGTATTAGTGTAATAAAATTCTCTGTAGGTAGTAGTTACGCCGAATACCCGGAATACCCCAATACTAATTTATATTTTTATGATTTTTCGTTTACATAATTATAGCACATGATAGTATGATATATTTAGTAATATTACGATAATCACATATTATCATTTATCATACCCATACGGTTATATGGCAATTAATATTAATGAAATAAAATAATTAGAAAAAAAAACTTGTTTGCCGACTTGGGAATAAAATCGTCAAATTGCCGACTCAGAAATCTAACTACCGAGTTTGGGGGGGTGTCACACCCCCCCATGCACCCCCCTTTCGCCGGCCCTGGGTACAACTGTTGAGGAGCCATTTTGCGTAACCGTTGTTTTTCGATATCTACGTCGGTGATCAGATAACATTCAAATAATTACAGCGTGAATTTAAATATTATAATCATTATTATTAATACAAGTAAATAATACAGTTGACTAATTGAGTATTGTAATTTTTGTTACTTAAATCTAAATTATTGGAAATATACAAAACTTAACGATTATGTACTATGGTGGTACCAATTTTTTTTTGCATCAAGGCGAAAAATGTCTTATTGCGCAATTGTGTCTGTACCCAATTATTAATTGTCTGTAACCTATTATTCTACCCATACACCATGGAAACATCCACCTACCTACCACCCAAAAAATAGTTTTTCAGAAAACAAGACTACCCCCCAGGTATCCATAATTGCACACTTTATTTCATTTTTTTCTTTTTGTGCATTAAATTGCTTATATTTTCATAACTGAGTATTTATAAAATAAAATAAAATTCCAAAAATGTAACATAACATAAACATTTAAAATAAGCAAAAAAAAAGATTATTTCGTCAAGAATCAAGAGGTACATGAACATTGTTTAACTGTGTAGGTGGTACGTAGATATAAACAGGTTGAGAACCACTGAACTTCTGAAGTAGATAAAACAAATATTTAAATCGGCAATGTTACACATTTAAGATTTAGCTTATCAAAACATATTATTTTCTAACTGTCCACACAGCAATTTGGTCGTACATATCCCATTAAGGATGTGCCTAAAAAATAACCCCGGAAAAAATAACCCTGAAAAAATGAACCCCGAAAAAATAACCCCGTGAAAAAATAACCACGGAAAAAATAACCCTTTAATAAAAATTTATTTATTCGACGTATTGTTCCACTCACGTAGGTTTCGTCAAAATATTGAAATAACTCCTCTGCACCAAGACGAATAATTAATTTTAAATATTCAACACCTTCTTGTAACCTATTTAGTGGTAATAAAAAAGCCAAGTCATCTAACATAGGTACGACAGAATTCATTAAAATCATAATCTTCTTGCTATTTATTTTTAATCCTAATTCTGCCAATTTGCTGTGAGTACTCTGGCATAGGTGATAGAAACATCCGTTTATTATTAAATGTTCACCTAATACATTTTTGCTGCATTTATTACTGCCTTTTCGAAGTCTATTTTTATATTTTGTGGATCTGGAAAAAGATTGTTCTTTTCGCAGACTGATAAAATAGCTTTGAATATTATTTCGTAAATAGATTGATTTTTTTTTCAAGTAAACAGTAAAGAACAGTAAAAAATTCACTATATTTTTCAATTCGTATGATGTAGAGCTCTGAATTGTTTTTATCGTGAGTATATACAATAATTTATCATTGAATCCAAAATTAATATTGTACGTAGGTAATAGCCAATAGGTATGTTATACATTTTGTATTGATTTGAGATTAATTTGCAAAATCTCATATTATGGCCCATGGGGTTATTTTGTCGGTGGTTATTTTTTCGAGGGGTTATTTTTTCGGGTTCTAAATTTCCGTGGTTATTTTTTCGCGGTACCCCCATTAAGTATTCTAGTTTTAAAAAAAAAAACTGAAAATTTTTGTAGGTACTAAAACTTTTGTGTCGTATGTGGCATTCTATATTCAAGAGGATCACTAGTATAACTGTATAAGTCATCAATAGTTTGCTCTTATGTTTCCTTGTGATGTATACTGACATACTGTCTTGAAAAAAAAAGCAGAAACTAAATTATTATGTCACAGTAGTCAGCAAGTATAATACTATGAATGTTAGCTTCAATTAGAATTTAGATTCATAATGTTAAAATTAAATTTTATTAAAGACTACACTATAATTATTGTAGCCATAATAGCTAATGTACAGCTAAGTATATTTAATCCAGCTTATTTTAGTTTTGTGTTAAATAGGCTAGACCTGGGGGCTGGGATCACCAAATGGCGGCATGCAGACAAGAATAAAAAAAAGTGAAAACCGTTAATATTATACATTCTAGCATTATATTTATAATTTTTGTTAATTTACTTTTACCAATGTCCTCAATTTTGATTTTTGATACAATTTCTAGATTCCTAAAGTGGCAGTTCAAAAATATGAATTGGTGATCCCTGCGGTCTAGAATGTCTAGTTAAAGAACATTCTAGATGGAAGGGTTAGATATAAATTCTAAAATGCATGTTTGAAGATGCTAAAATAATATAATATACATTATAATATCAAAATTACATAGTTTGATATTAAAGTATTATCTTTGTATTTCATATTTTAATAAATTCTATTCAACATTAATTTTATCCTACAAAATATGAAAGTTGATTTTTGCATTAAACATAACTTTATCTATTTTTTTATTAATATTACTCTTTACAATCATAATAATGCAACACCAATTAAGTAATTTAACAAAAATGTTAATGTAGTAAAATTTATTTAAAATAAAACAAAACAATAAATATTCTATTAGTATAAAAAACAAACATCAATCATATTAATCGTTCAAAAAACCTTCCAAGTTCTCATACTCGGATTTAGGACTATTAGTCGTCTTTTTATTCTTTTTTTCACTTTTACTCTTGGCTTTTTTTTCTTTTACCTAGATTTTAAACAACATATATTTGTTATTATTGTTAAAAAAAATATTTTATTTATATGAAATATTCTAGCAGTTATAATAATAAGCTGTATAAACAAATCTATATATTGTAAGTGTTACAAAGCTGAAACATGATCATTAGAATTTACAGATAGCAGGTATATCTTGCTTACTCTTTGATATGTAAATATGTAAATACAGCCAAGGTTACACAACTGGGAATGATACTTTAACTCTAGAATTCCTTGTAAAATGTATCTTTATTTATTGGCTTTCAATTGACCAAATACAAAAGGTCGTAGTTTTAGCACGAACACTTTTTAAAAATTGTTATCTTCAATTTTATTTTTTCATAATAATCATTTTACATAGTAACACCTCTCTAAAATTTGATTAAGTTTTATTAATTCTATCATTAAGCTATGTGTTCCCCTCTTAATATTATGTATACAACTACATAATATAATATTGTGAACTAAATTTTATAGTAGTTTAAATTAAAAAGTGGAAGTCACTGCTGTATAATAGGCTACAAGTGACCAGTGGGTCACTGTAATGTATAGTGTTAAATGTGAATTCAATGATATAAAACTATTGTATACGAAAAACAATTCTGTGAGGAGACTTCGAGACGGTATGTCAGTCTAGACAAACTGTCAGCCTATAATATCACGAAGTATATTTGATGATACTATTGTGATTAAAGTAATTTATAGGCATTCGTACAACAGTAAGTTAAATTAATTTTTGCCAAAAAAATAACATTCGAAAATGTCATTACATGTATAAAATATAAAAATATAATTTAAAAGTTGTATATAACCACGAATAATATTTATAAATTACAACAAAATAACAAACATTTTTATTTTTGGTTATAATATTATGTAACTTTGTCCAAATTTGAACCTATAATGTCTGTAAAAAATAACTGTGTTTTTAATATATGTAATAAAAGGTATAATATTATAATATATGTGTTTATTATATTGTTTAGATATTTTAGTTACAGTATAAACTATTTATGAAAATTCTTGTTTCAAATTTTCAATCCTTAGCTAAAAAAGTTGAACATATTATACATTTTTAACTACTACTTTCCATTTTGATACATTTTATCAAAATTTGAACTTTAAATACTTATAAAAAAAATCATACAAATGGATCTTTATTATCTTTATTATTTCTCAATAATATCTTACATTACCTTTTTACTAACATTACTTAATCCATCCACACGCTTTGATTCTTCATCTTCACCGCCCTCTGGTCTTGGTCTTGTAGTATTTTGAATAGAGGACCAATTGTTTATATCATTTGATTCAACATTGTTCTTTTCAATCTTAAGTTAATAAAAAAAATTTAAATTACTATTTTAGTATTTTAGGTATACTTTGTTATTTTTAAAAATTATAACAGTATAACTATTAAA